TTATGTGTATACCAGATTATCCCCGCGAAGCCCTACTCTAGTTGTTAAGGCCCCTATACTACTGAAAGGATCAGGGGACTTATATGGTCAAGTGGGGTATAAGTAATTAAGGCAATGAAGGTCCTTGTAACCCTACTTGCTCCGTGTCCCGATCCTCCAAGTAGCCCCGAACCCTTCCGAAACACAAAACAATCTTGGCCCTGCTGCAAGAGTACCCTGTGCAATCGGGATGTCGGGACCAGGACCACCCTAAACCCTAAACCCTAAACCCTGAAGCCTGAACCCTCAACCCTGAACCCTGAACCCTGAACCCTGGACCCTGGACCCTGAACCCTGAACCCTAACCCAAAAACTCTCCAAGGTGGACAACCTCGCTGACCTCAGCTACGCCTTCACCAAGTGCCGTGCGCTTCATCCGACAACTAGCTCGTTCTCAATAGGGAGTTCGGGAATTCGGGACCTCCTATCCCCCCAACTGTGACCCTTAAAAGATCGTAAAGGGTTTAGGGTTTTGTGTATCCCTGAACTCTAAATCCAACTAAGCGTCAGTAAGAAACGGTGCCGGTTCTTGCCTGGTTGTGTGACCCGATAGTGCCTCCCCTGCGAGACTTGGGGAGAACGACCCTAAATCCTAAACTGAACCCTGGACCCTGAATGCTATTTCCCTCATGGCCCAATTTTCCATGAACATAGTTGAAGACCCTAAACCACTCTTTCATATATAATATAAATGTTAATGACTTTGCGGGCAAGGTCATATATTTAGCGGGCAAGGTCATATATTTAGTGGGCAAGGTCATATATTTAGCGGGCAAGGTCATATATTTAGTGGGCAAGGCCCATTGGCCAAAAAATGACCTTGCCCACTAAATATATGACCTTGCCCGCTAAAGGGCGACCTTGCCCACTATATATATGACCTTGCCCGCTAAATATATGACCTTGCCCGCTAAATATATTGCCCGGGCCAGGTCATATATTTAGCGGGCAAGGTCATATATTTAGCGGGCAAGGTCATATATTTAGCGGGCAAGGTCATATATTTAGCGGGCAAGGTCCTATATTTAGCGGGCAAGGTCCTATATTTAGTGGGCCACCCCCCCCCCCCCACCCGCCCCCACCCGCCCCAACCCCCCCCCAAACCCCCCCCCCCCCCCGCCACCCCTCCCAACCCCCCCCCCCCCCACCCTCCCCACCCCCCCCCCCCACCCCCCCCCCCCCCCACCACCCCCCCACCCCCCCCCCTCGCCCCCCCTCCCCCCTCAACCCCCCTCGACAATGAAGTGGATCAAAGGGTGGGGTGGGGAATCCCGCTTGTCAAGATGGCTTCCAAAAGAATAAGTTTCTGAATGACCTCGCCTGTTTTTGAGGCCCCTGAAGCCCCTCAATCGATTCAAGAATCTCAAGATGGCTTCCAAATGTGATAAGCAGATCCATTCTGTTGACCACGTTTGGTTTTCTTGTCCGCTTGAAACAGAAACGTGTGGTTAACAAATCCATTCTGTTGACCACGTTTGGTTTTCTTGTCCGCTCGACACAGAAACGTGTGGTTAACAAATCCATTCTGTTGACCACGTTTGGTTTTCTTGTCCGCTCGAAACAGAAACATGTGGTTAACTAATCCATTCTGTTGACCACGTGCCTAGAGAAGAAGGAGGTTGGATATTTTTCCTAATGTTGTTGAAAACGTGTCTGACTTGGGTAGGTAAAACTCTTTGGAGTAGGAAGAAAACCTTTTATTTTCTTAATGTTATGGGATTCTTTGGGCGGGTGTTTTTTTTTTCCGTTGCCTGAACACACTGCTGGCCTAGTAAATGCTCGAACTTGAGATGCTGAACCCTAAACCCTAAACCCTAAACCCTGGACCCTAAACCCTAAACCCCTAAACCCCTAAACCCCTAAACCCTAAACCCTAAACCCTAAACCCGAAACCCTAAACCCGAAACCCTAAACCCTAAACCCTAAACTCTAAACCGGGTGGGTTTCCCTGAGCTCGGGCCCCTGTTTAAACGCGGTGAGTTGCACTTGGCTTTCTTCTGTCTGGCTCTTGGGGCTTTAACCTTTTGGGTTTAGGGTTTAGGGTTTAGGTTTAGGGTTTAGGGTTTAGGGTTTAGGGTTTTGGGTTTAGGGTTTAAGGTTTGGGTAGAAACTACAATAAGGAGCTTCAAAGTTAAACTTTTAGGAGGGGCTCAGAAGTCAGCCAAGTACATGCAGGGTACCCTACACCCTACACCCTACACCCTACACCCTACACCCTACACCCTACACCCTAAACCCTAAACCCTAAACCCTAAACCCTAAACCCTAAACCCTAAACCGAGTCCTCCACATCTGCACTTGGCCTAGAGATGTCATTTTTCAGATGCCTGCTTCCCTTGTAAGTGGGTAGGATTTCGGGTTTGGGGTTCAGAGGTTTTCGTTGTAGGGCTCAGGGTTGAGGATCTAGAGCATCGTTCTTCGTGTGCGTGTGTGCACGCGTGCAAGCTGAGGACACTGCGAGCTCGTCATGGTTTCTATACTACTTGCAGCAAGCACCCTGGCAGTTTTTTGGATTTCTTACGCGCCCTGAGAGGCTCATGTATGAACTTCGGGTTTAGGGTTTAGGGTTTAGGGTTTAGGGTTTAGGGTTTAGGGTTACCCTAAGCCCAAACCCTGTTCAGGCTTCAGGCTTCCAGGGTTTCGGGGGCTTGGGGGGGCTTTTTCATGGGTTTCGGATAAGCCCAAACCCTGTTCAGGCTTTAGGGTTTTAGGGGGCTTTGGGAGGCTTCTTCATGGGTTGAGGGTAAGAAAGAACCTTCCACCCCCACCCAGCAGACCGAAAGCGGACGTGCCAGAGTCCCTCCCCGCGGGAGATTGCTGTTGGCTGCAGTTAGGCAGGGTTTAGGGTTTAGGGTTGGTTTAGGGTTTGGGTTGGTTTAGGGTTTAGGGTTTAGGGCTCGGGGCTTAGGGCTTAGGGTTTCGGGTCTAGGGTTTAGGGCTTAGGTTTGTTTTTTATTTCCGGAAGGGTTGGCGAGGGGAGTTGTAAATAGTCAGCTAACCCCCAAGGTCGTTTGATGAAAGTAGGGCTTTAGGGGAGTTTCGAGCTTCAGGATTCAAGCATTTCGGGCTCTTGGTCCAAGGTTTAGGGTTTAGGGTTTAGGGTTTAGTGTTTAGGGTTTAGGGTTTGGGGGTGCTCTCCATAAGCGTTTGCCCCAAGCAGTAGACTGTTGGGGTTCTCAATTTCCGGCCTGCCTGGGGTTCTCAGCTTCCGGCCTGCCTGGTTTTCGGGGCGGTTTGTGCCTCCCTTTGTCTCCCAAACCCTAAACCCTAACCCCGAAATCGTAAACCCTAAGCCTGAAATCCTAACCTCCCCAAATCCACAACTTAAAGTTGGGGTGTACGCTGTTTGGGGCCTAGGGTTGCAGGATTTCAGGCTTCCCACCAACCCAAGATGGGACCCTAAGCCCTCAGCCCGTTTGAAAAGGAATCCTTGTACCAGAAAAAGAGAACCGAGCTTAGGGTTAGCTCAACCATAAAGTCCAAACTGAAAGCCCTAAACCTTACAGTCTAAACAGCCCTCTACCTAACCCTAAACCCTAAACCCTAAACCCTAAACCCTAAACCCTAAACCCTAAACCCTAAACCCTAAACCCCAAACCCCAAACCCCAAACCCGAACCCCCCTCTCCCCAGTGCCCCCAAGGAAAGGCAGAGTCGCATCCCGCTTTGCTTGTCGCCCCTGGGCTGCTTCGGTTTCTGCAGGGTACGGGTTCCGGGTTTAGGAGTTAGGGCTTAGGGGATCCCTAAACCCAAAACCCAAAACCCAAAACCCAAAACCCAAAACCCAAAACCCAAAACCCAAAACCCTAAACCCTAAACCCTAAACCCTAAACCAGGTTTTGAGGGTTCATGATCCAGGGTTTTGGATGCGCAGGTTGAGGATTTAGGGTTCAGGACTTAGGGGAAGTAAAGCACCCGTCGAGAGGGTGTCTTGACGCTTCTGCCCTTAGAGCTAGACTCAAAGCCCTAAAACGTAGCCATTAGGGGGTTTCCGACATCAGGGGGTACCATTTTGGGGTCCTTATTATAAGGGAATCCGATTATTTGGGGTCGATATTACGGGTCCCTTATTTTCGGCAAACCCCCAAAACCCAAAACCCAAAGCCCTAAACCCTAAACCCCAAACCCTTGACCCCCATATAGGGTTTAAGCTTCTGGACATGGCAGGCCCTTAGGGCGAAAGGGCTGAGGGTTCAGGCTGTTTCATAGCCCTTCACGTGTAGGGTTTAGGGTTTCGGGTCTAGGGTTTAGGGTTTAGGGTCGGACCCTGAGCCCGAAACCCAAAAAACCCAAAAACCCGAAAACCCTAACCCTAAAACCCGAAACCCTAAACCCTAAACCCGAAACCCTAAACCCGAAACCCCCAAACCCAAAAACCCTAAAACCCTCAGCCCGAAAACCTCTAATGCCCTAAGCCCTAAAGCCCGAAAACCCTAAAGCTTCAGCTGAGGCAGACCTTGTCCACGGCATCCACAACACACGACCGCCACGCCGATGCACAGCTGCCACAAACCCCCCAAAGCCCTAAACCCCCGACTCCGTAAAACCTGACTTAGGGTTTAGGGTTTAGGGTTTTAGGTTTTAGGGTGTAGGGTTTAGGGTTTAGAGTTTGTGAGTGCGTGCACATGAATGCTGTAAAGCTGAGTGAAACTCGTTTCTGACGTGGGGGGTTGCTCAAGTGAAAAGGGACAAGTCAATCTGCCGTGGGACTCGGAAGCTTCTCTCTGCTTCTTCTGGCGAAAATCTTTGAAGCTGGCTTGAAGCTTGATCGAAGCGCCTACTTCTTCCCAGCCCCTGGAGATTTGACTTTCAACCACACCACCAGCTGCCTCTGCCAGTGCGACTGTGGCGACGACAAGAGGGCGACCCCGTGGTATCAGCTGCTCACAAGCTTCTTCCTCTGGAGCTCAGGCCTAAGTGTGGGGCTGATCTACCCGAGGTGGAGGCGTTCCGAGGCAGGTGATGCCATCGCCACCTCCCCGCGCCGACGCGGAAAGGGCCTTATCACAATGCCTTCCGGGCGATAGGCTCGTCACCTGGTATGAAGACGACGATCTATGGCACGAGCGATTGTTGATTTGGCCCAAGGACAGGCAAAGCTGGTGGGTTGCTACACCCGACGGCGATATGTACCTCGAACCAATAGTTGGAGACGGCACCCTCGGTCCCCTTACTTTCCGGATCAAAGGCGTCGACTTCACCTACTGGTCCAGGCTCACCAGGCCGGTGTACCGCTTCTCGGAAAGCGTCAGCGATGAGGACTTCAAAGGCTGGATCCGCGAGGCTCTGCAAGAGTTACGTGGGATGGAGGGACCTAGCCCTGAGGTTCCTAGACATGTGCGAAACATGAAGGGGGATGTTGTCGACGCGACGGCCTATCTCGGAACCATCTTGGTGCCCCGCAGGGTCGGGGCCAAGCGGCTTGTCACCGCCAGCCCTACATCGAGCCCGGCGACTTCACACGAGTTTCCTGTCCTTTCTTCGACAGACATGTGGGTTATTGCCGACCCTCGAGGTGAACTTCAAATCGGAGCCGAGCTGACCCCTTCGCCAGGAGACTTGTTCCTCGGCGGCAAAGATGCTGCGTTTTTTCGGGCTGGCTTGTGGGTCAGGGGTGAGCTTGTAGATAGAGCGTTGCTGGATGCTTGGCAGCTTGAGCGCTTGAAACACCTGACGGGCAAGCCCCTTGTGGATGCGGCCGCCGAGCGCCTCGGCATCCGCCCGGACCCCGAAGACCCTCTGAAGAACCGTGCGGGCGAGGCCAGGGAGACCCCCGAGGTAAAGGACGATGATGAGTCCGATGCCAGGACACTTTGGGTTGAGTTTGATGACCAAGGTGACAGATTCCGAGAATGGAGGAAGGTTGTGTCCGACTCCGCGGCCCATGCTTGGAAGGACTGGCCGCACCAAGGACCGGCGTCGCTCTTGCACACAATGAAACATTTCCATCGGCATGGAGGTGACCCTCGCTCTTGGCTACAGGCATGGCTCCGGAAACATCATCTTGCTGAGACCGACAGGACGGCTCATGAGGTCCGCTCGTTGGTGGAGGCATTGTGGTTGGGAGGATGCTACGACCAACTAAATATGCCGAGCCTAGCTTCGTTCGAAGCGATCGGTCGACGACTTCAAACAATCGTAGAAGCGTACTCCAATGGAGCCAATGGAGTTCCTGACTGGGGCCACGCGAGACTCTTCACTGGTGCGGTCTCGGCCGACGACGTCGTATCGGCCGAGCTGCGGTCATGGGCAGCAAGGCGTGGCAAAGAAGAAGTAGAACTCATTGCCGCTCGCTCAAAGATCAAGGACATGCGCAAGCTCCTGACCGGCGCTGAGACCACGAGCTCGACCCTGGATGATGCGCTGCCGAATCCCAAAGGGAAGCAGAAGGGTGGGCGCCTTCGCAAGCCGGAGGCGCCCGAGTCGACATGAAGGACATGTGTCCTCCGCCTGGGTTGGCCCCCCCAGCGGAGGAGAATGTTTGTGGGGCCCTGGGGGGCCTTTTCCCGCTCCCCGAGTTGCATGTGGAGTGTGCCGCTACGAAGCTCTCCAGAGGAAGTTCCCAACGGCGCAATCGGCGAATTCGACTTCAGGTGGACACGAATGAGGCGGTACGGGCTCTCAATTGGATGGCTGGTGCCCCTCAGGATCGTGGCGCTTTTTCGCCTTCCCGGCTTCAACAGGAGGCCCTCGAACATGTGAAGGCGGCGTGTGTGGCTTCCCTTGAACTTCCCGAGGGCGCTACTTCCCCTTGTTCCCCGGAGGCAGCCTTTCGAGAGTTGCTCCGCGGCTCCTCGGTTTACGAGGCGGCCGGTTCAACCTTGGCGTCCTTCAGCCTTGACCGCGTCAGCTTGCCGGAATCTGTTCATGACTGTCCGCAGGTGACCGACCTGCTCTACGGCACCGACGCCCATCAGTATTTGGAGGACCCCGAGCGCATGCTGAAACCAGCTGAAGACCACAGTGACATTACCCCGTACTGGGACCCCTTGTTGAGGAAGAGCGTCCGACATTACAAGTCACTCATACAGCGTTTGCATAAGATCGGCTACTGCAGCTATACTTTAACCCCAAAAGAACGAGCTGGCATCTTCGTAGTCAAGAAGAGCGATGGTGTGCGACAGAGGCTTATCATCGACGGGCGGAGGGCGAACTTCAGGTTCGCGACTCCACCTTCAGTGCGCCTTTGTTCCCCTGAAAGCTTTGCGAAGGCAGAGATCACCTGGGAGGATTTTGATCACACTCTCTTCCCCGGCTTTGAGGCGCTCCCTGAGTTACATGTGGGGCTCTCTGACATTCGCGATTGTTTTCACCGACTCAAACAACCACGTTGGCTGCAGGAATTCTTTTGCTTCGATCCCGTGCCCGCCAAGTGGGTCGGGCTCTCGGGTCAGGAGCTCGGGGGAACACAGCTCAAGCCAGATGACCTTGTGTACCCTATGCCGTCTTCATTGCCCATGGGTTGTTCATGGAGTTTGTATTTTGCCCAGACCATCTCGGAGAAGTTGATGGGCGAGGTCAAGGGCCTAGAACAGTCTTCCTTGCTTCGCGATAGGGGACCCCCTCTGGTCATCAAAGTTCCGAGAGAGTTGCTAGAAGGTCGGAGCGACCCTGGGCCTGGAGCAGGCAAACCTCGCCCGGAGGGTGATCCCAGACATTATGTGTACGTAGACAACCTGGGGGTCTTGTCCATGGACAGGTCCGTCGTGGAGTCCTCGCTCTCCTCGATCACGGAGACATTTGAGCAGCGAGGCCTGAAGCTCCACCCTGGTGAGGTCAAATCACACAAAGTCGATGCACTGGGGTGCCGTTTGTCCGGCAGGCAATGCCGGGCCTCCTTGAAGCCGGCGCGGATGTGGAGGCTCCGGCAGGGCATCAGACACATGCTAAAGATGCGGTGTGTCTCGGGTCGTGTGTTGGAGGTTCTCATCGGACACGCTACGTATTGCTCCCTTCTCAACAGATGCCTCATGCCCATTTTTCATGCTACATACAAGTTCATCCGAAAACATTATGGAGAGAGGGTCACGCTGTGGGCGACCGTCCGCCGCGAGTTTGAGGTCTTTGCGGCTCTCCTCCCTCTGTGTTTTTCGGACTGGTCACGCGCCTGGAATGGGTACATCTCGGCTTCTGATGCCTCGCTCACCGGATTTGGGGTGTGCGGGCGAAGAATAGATCCTGAGATTGCAGCCCAGGTTGGGAGAGTGCCGGAGCGAGAGCGTTTCCGGCGTTGCCCTTCGACAAGTGCACGCGCCTCTGCCCTCTCCGCTGCCTTGACAGAAAACGAGTCAGACATGGACCAGGAAGTTGAAGCACTCCTTGAGGCGGGATGGGAGGTCGACGCCAGCTTCGTTGAGGTCCCCCGTGCTTTGCTCAGGAAGTCAGACTGGGAGGTGAACCTGTATGGAAAGTGGGCTTACCCGGACGACATTCTGGTTCTAGAGGGACATGCGCTGGTCAAGTCTTTGAGCCGAATTGCGCACACTAGACATGGCAAAGATGCACGGCAACTCCTCTTAGTCGACAATTTGCCGGTTGCCCTCGCTTTTGATCGGGGACGGTCACGTAACTATAAGGTCCTCAGATGCATCCGAAAGTTTAGCGCCTTATGTCTCAGCCGGAATTTGGCCTGTGCTGTCCGATGGATACCGTCTGAACTCAACAGTGCAGACAAGCCTTCCCGTGTGTTCGAGGTGGATGGCTCCGAAGGTGCGAGTGCTGCAGCCGCCGTCTCCAAGACCTGGCAGCACTCCACGCAAGTCTGCGAGAGTCCTCGTTGCCCCAAAGTTCCAGGAGAAAGTCTCCAAGGCCGACTCCAGCCGTGCCAAATTGGATACCCCGAACATCCTGGTCGGCCTGCAGTCCGTGACGGTACAAGCGCTGACTCTTCCCAAGACAGAGGCCGAGCTGATCGCGATCGCAAAGCCTCAGGTGCGAGACAAAGGCGAAAGCTCCTCCAGCAGCTCCGAGGGCACTCCCGAAGTAACTCGGGGTGCCAAGCGAAAGCGAACTCTGGAGGTGCGAAGGAAAAAGCGGATCCGGAAATATCTCGACTCTGCGCTCGCCAGCGCAGCCAAGGAGACCACCTTCCTCGAAGACCAGGCCGTGACAAAGAATGTGCTGAAGACCTACGATGCGGAGGTGGCCCTCTTCCAGTCTTACCTCAGCAAGCGCGGACAGGATTGGAACACAGATCCGGACGGGGCCATCGCCGCGTACCTGAACCACCTCTTTTGGCAGGGCGAGCAGCCTTACAGGGGGGAAAAGTTCCTCGCAGGGTGGATGCACCGCCACCCGCGCTTTGGCAGGGTGGGGGACCGGAAGCTTGCCAGGAGCTGGAGAGCTCTGAAAGGATGGAGACGACTCTGCCCGGGCAACTCCAAGAGACCCATGCCGCTTGGGGTTTGGTGCGCCGTGGCGGTGGAGTTGGCGAGAAGGGGGCAACCCAGGATGGGGCTTTTCGTGATGGTTTCCCTGTCTACGTACGCCCGTCCATCGGAGTTGCTCCGCTGCCCGACACGGAGTTTGGTCCCTCCGTCAATGGGGGTCATGGACGAGTGGGCCATTCTTTTGGCGCCGCAAGAGCTACAGCACCCAACCAAGACGGGCGACTACGACCACTCCGTAGCCCTCGACTCCAAGTACCTCAAACCGTGGAGCGACCTCCTCTTCAAGGCCTTGAAAACGCAGCGCCCGGCATCCAACCTTTGGGACTTTGGTTACGGGGAGTACCTGAGCGCCTTTCGAGCAGCCAGCTCCTCCTTGCAGCTCGACCTCAGTCCGTATCAGACCCGTCACAGCGGACCGAGCATCGACAGAGCCAAGAACTGGCGGCCTCTGTACGAGGTCCAGAAGCGAGGGAACTGGCGAGCTCACAAATCCGTGCAGAGGTACGAGAAAGGAGCCCGCCTCGGTCAGAGTTACCAGAGCCTCACGCCAGCAGTGCGAGAACACTGCGACCTTTGCGAAACACTGGTCGGGGAAGTGCTCCTGGGCCGCAAACGGCCGCCGCCAAAGCCGTAAGGCGCCGATGTCCTGGCCAGTACTTCTTGGATCTCTTTGCAGGGAAGGGAGGTGTCTCTTCCTCCCTCCGCAGTTTGGGGTTCCGTAGTTTTGAGTTTGAGCTTGAGCGAGGCACTCAGTACGACCTCACCGACAAGCAGGTACTCAAACGACTCAACCGTGCTTTTTGTCGAAAAGAAGTTTTGGGAGCCATGCTTGCTACTCCTTGCACCACCTTCAGTGTAGCAAGGGATCGTACAGAGGTCCTTCGCAGTCGCGAACACCCATGGGGTCTGCCACCTCAACTGTTGTCTGAAGCGGACCGCAAAAAGGTGAGTGACGGCAATGCATGTGCGCAAGCTACCTTGAAGATCATTGCTTGGTGCGATCGGCTCCAACTGCCTTGGATTGTGGCAAACCCAATTTCGTCCAAGCTGTGGCAGTTGCCTGAATTCCAGCGCCTGCTGCACGCTGACCATACTGAGGTGGCTGTCATTGACTTCTGTGCCTACGGCAGGCGCTGGCGGAAGCGTACTCAACTTCTCACTGGCAATGTTTCTTCCCAGGATGTAGCCCGACTTCAGGGTCGACGGTGCGGTGGCAGTCGCGGCGTCTGCAGTTTCTCTGGCCACCAACATTTTCGATTGACTGGGCTTGGTCCTGCAGGGACCCCCTGGAACAAAATCGCCCAACCCTACCCGCCCGCACTGTGCCGCGACTTGGCTTTTCTTTTGTCTGCAAGTACCATGTTTGCTGGTCAACATCCGATCTCATCCTCCTGGATGATATGGGGGTGATATGGGAGTGAGAGCTGGCGACGCCAGATTCAAAGTTCTCACGGTCTTCAAGCCAGCCTCATGGCTGCTGCAGGCTTTTTGCACCGCTACGACATAGCACAAGGTTCTGAGACATAGTGACCGCAAAAGAGGGCGCTCTGCATGAAAGCATGTGAGTGCGTGCACATGAATGCTGTAAAGCTGAGTGAAACTCGTTTCTGACGTGGGGGGTTGCTCAAGTGACCCTCCCACCCTCCCGAGTGAGAGCTGGCGACGCCAGATTCAAAGTTCTCACGGTCTTCAAGCCAGCCTCAGGCTTTTTGCACCGCTACGACATAGCACAAGGTTCTGAGACATAGTGACCGCAAAAGAGGGCGCTCTGCATGAAAGCATAGGGTTTTCGGTATACCCTTACACACCCAAACCCTTGAGATTGTTGACGGTTTCTGGGTTTCGCTGGGGTCGCACAGTGGAAACTTCGCGCAGCGGAATATTCTGGAGGAAGGTCACCCGAAACCCAAAACCCAAAACCCAAAAGCCAAAAGCCAAAACCCTAAAACCCTAAAACCCTAAAACCCTAAAACCCTAAAACCCTAAAACCCTAAAACCCTAAAACCCTAAAACGCTAAAACCCTAAAACCCTAAAACCCTAAAACCCTAAAACCCTAAAACCCTAAAACCCTAAAACCCTAAACCCTAAAACCCTAAAACCCTAAAACCCTAAAACCCTAAAACCCTAAAACCCTAAAACCCTAAAACCCTAAAAGCCCTAAAACCCTAAAACCCTAAAACACCCTAAAACCCTAAAACCCTAAAACCCTAAAACCCTAAAACCCTAAAACCCTAAAACCCTAAAACCCTAAAACCCTAAAACCCTAAAACCCTAAAACCCTAAAACCCTAAAACCCTAAACCCCTAAAACCCTAAAGCCCCAAACCATGTACGCCGGGGGCACTCTCATCCTGAGATGACTTCCTTGTCTCTCAATCTCTCGCCCTAGAAAGGTGATTTTTCCACCAGTGGAAGTGATTCCACCCGTCTCCTTGATCTTTAACTCACCGTTCAGGGTGTCGGTAACCGACCGAATGGCCTCTTTGGTTCCACAGAGAACCAAATCGTCCACATAACAGTTTAGGGTTTAGGGTTTAGGGTTTAGGACGTTTGGTTAGGGGACTTCTTTAGACAACCAGTAGGCTTGTTTGGGGGCAAAGGGCGTGGTGTGTGGAGCTTTAGGCTCGGGGTTTAGGGCTCTAGGGGACTCTAGGTTCATCGGGAGAATTTTGCCTGGCCTCCAACTCGGGGGAGTCTCCAGGTTCTTGCTTTAGGGTTAACAGGGGTTTAGGGTTCAGGGTTCACGGTTGAGGGTTTAGGAGGTTTTAGTTGCTTGGAAACTTCAGGCAAATGAAGCCGAGCCGAAGCGAGTCCAGGGGTGGGTTTAGGGCGTTTGGGGCATTAGGGATATGATTGTTTCCCAAAAATAGGGGGGCGGGGGTACGTACCCCGTTTTTACCCCAAACAGAATAGAACAATCCCCTTAAAAGGGACCCCCCAAAAGGGTACCCACATTTTCGGAACAACCCCCAGGGCATGATTCCCAAATCTCCAAGCCCTTAGATACTAAAGCATCGAAACTGCCTCAGCTGCAAGATTCAATCCCTTTGCCTGACTGTTGGTTAGCAGGGAATGAGGGAATTGGGGCGCTATATACAGCCTGCCAACCAACAGTAAGTTGCCGGAGAAGTAGAATTAAGGAATGTTTCTCAACTTCTGGCCAGAATCCTGAGAGAATTTTTAAGAAGGCTGAGCCCTAAATCTTATGTACACCCCAGGTTTCCTGCTAGTCCTACTTATCTGAGGTGACCCTAAACCCTAAACCCTGAACCCTAAACCCTAAACCCTAAACCCTACGTCCCATCTGAGGTGAGGGCGACAGCGACGGTGTGCCTGTAAGCAGCGACGAGGCCACCGGGCAGCGGTGGAGTAAACTCATCGGAGCTCCTCGGGTTTAGGGTTTAGGGTTTAGGATTTAGGGTTTAGGCTAGGCTTTAAGGTTTAGGGTTTAGGGCACAGGGTTCTCAATCCCGAACCCAAGTTCCCTGAGCTCTACCAAGAGCGGGCTTAGGCTGAGCCTCTCGGACAGGTGCTATGCCCCTCAAGAAGGGTCCTAGGAGGGTCGAGGGTGCTCGGAACCTCTTTTGAAAGCCCTAGCCCCTAAAAACCTTAAACCCTAAATCCTAAGCCCTCAATCCTCAGACCCCAAGCTCTAGATGGGGTAAGATTTCCAAAGGGCTCGTATTTGAGATCTCCCCCCCCCCCCCCCCCCCCCCCCCCCCCACACTCCGCACTACCGCAATCCCGAAATCCTAAGCCCCTCGTGTTAGGGGTTCGGGTTTAGGGTTTGGGGTTGAGGCGGTCTAGGGTTTAGGGTTCAGGGGCCCTATACCTCTGAAATTGTGAGCCCCAAAACCTGTAAATCTCCACATAGAATGCCTTGAATGACATGAATCCAAAAACCTCAACCCAAACCCCCTTCAACGACACTAAGCCCCAAACCTTACATCTTAAACCCACTACAGAACCACTGTGCAAAGTTTAGGGGGTATCCCGGCTTTGATTACGAGAGTTCGCCGTGCCAGTTGGGATTTTGGTTTTGCTTCGCTTGCTGCTGTTTAGATTTGGTTTGGGTTTATGGTTTAGCCCGGGTTAGTGGTGCCACTTTGAATCCATTATGTTTTCTAACACAAGATGCCCATGAACCTCCAAAGACGGTTTTGGGATGCAGGGTTAAGACGCGCGAGGACGTCCAATGGTCCATTGCTGGGCCAGCAGCGAAATCGAATTGGCTTGCTGCTGGGTATCCAAGGCCCCGACCTGTCTCGAACGGGATTCAGCATCAGAGTTTTTCTCAGGATTTGTTTCTATTTCTATGCCAATCTCTACTTACATTGCTAGAGTTGGCTGCGTTTTGTGCCTGTTTTCTGAATTACTGCTCCCATGCGGTTGCCAAAAAGGCTTGAGCACCAGGGGACTACGTGGTGGGTTTCGGGTTTGCATACGTACTGGTTCTAAGTAGAGATTGAGGGGACTCGGTTTCTTAGAATTCCAAAAGCTACAAGCCAGACCCTAAAGCGTGCAAGTCCACTTGAACCTTCAAGTACACCCTAAAGCCATCTAAAGCCGTCTAAAGCCATCTAAAGCCATCTAGAGCCATCTACAGCCATCTAAAGCCATCTAAAGCCATCTAAAGCCATCTAAAGCCAAAGCCTCTATAACGTCTCTCCTGCTACTGGGCAATTTGGTAGGAGCCCTAACCCTAAACCCTAAACCCTAAACCCTGAACCCTGAACCCTGAACCCTAAACCCTAAACCCTAAACCCTAAACCCGAAACCCGAAACCCTAAACCCTCGCGGATGACAGAGCAGCCAGTTTGAAGTTGCGACTATCGGCTGATCTGTGGCATTGGTTCAGGTCGACAGCACAGGAGCCCTTGCCACTTGTAGGACTTATTTTTCGAAATCAGTCAACATGTATAGCAGACGACGAGAGAAGTCAACATGTATAGTGTACAGCATTTAGCACAGAAGTCATGGGACACAGACTCCTGTCAGGACATGTCTTGTCTTGTTTGGTCTTTGTTTGGTGTTGTTGCTGCTCGGTGGCAAAAAGAGCCCTGCGTAACCCCGTTGTGGAGCTTCTTGCCCACGCGAGACCCTAAACCCTAAGCCCTAGGCAATTTGGTAGGAGCCCTTAGGGCAATGGTAACCCCCAGGCCCCAAGCCCAAAGGTCCTGCAACTTTCCGTTGGCATGGCGACAGGCCAGCGACTCCAACTCCCTTTGATTAAGGCATATCCCGAAATTATCATCGGAACCCTAGTATGCTTCAAGGTATATTATCATAGGAACCCTAAGATGCTTTAAGGTGTATTATCATAGGAACCCTAAGATGCTTTAAGGTATATTATCATAGGAACCCTAAGATGCTTAAGGTATATTACCCGGTATACTCCTTAATTCAGGGGTAGTGGAGTCCCTAAACCCTAAACCCTAAACCCTAAACCCTAAACCCTAAACCCTAAACCCTAAACCCTAAACCCTAAACCCTAAACCCTAAACCCTAAACCCTAAACCCTAAACCCTAAACCCTAAGCCCTCTCTGGGAGGCCCGAAACGCAGCGTGACCCCAGGGTCATTGCCCCACCGGACGCGGACGTGGAGCCCTGGAAGGCAAGGCTGGTGTTTTGTTTCCGAAGCGGGTGGGAAGGGTTTAGGGTTTAGGGTTTAGGGTTTGGGGTTTAGGGTTCAGGGTTTAGGGTTTAGGGTTTAGGGTTTAGGGTTTAGGGTTACTCTGGGGTCTGGGTCTCCTGATCCTTTAAGTAAGCCGTAGAAGCGGTCCCCAGCAACCCTGCCTTAAGAATCGGCCAGGCGGAGGGCTCCACTTCACTATGTCTGGGGGACGAACCCCCACCCACCCCTTCATTTCAAGCTCCACCCTAAACCCTAAACCCTAAACCCTAAACCCTAAGCCCTAAGCCCTAAGCCCTAAGCCCTAAGCCCTAAGCCCTAAGCCGTAAGCCCTAAGCCCTAAGCCCTAAGCCCTAAGCCCTAAGCCCTCAGCCCGAAGCCCTAAGCCCTAAGCCCTAAGCCCTAAGCCCTAAGCCCCAAGCCCTAAGCCCTAAGCCCTAAGCCCTAAACCCGAAACCCTAAACCGTAAACCCCTAAACCCCTAAGCAAAGAGGTCATGCCCCTGCGCGCGCCACCGGGCCTCTCGCCCGTCCTGGCTGCCGGGTTCTGGGCTCAGACTTTTTCCTTGGGGCTCTTTATTTAGGGCTTAGGGAATTTAGGGAGTTTAGGGAGTCTAGAAAATTCAGGA